GCAATTTGCCAAGAGTAATTACTGTCTCTGTGGTCTTACAGATGCTTGATGTGGCTGCTTCTTGCTTCATCCTATCTTGATGCAATCTATACCATTCAATAGATACACTTTCTTCTTCCACTCCTCCCTCATCATCTCCCACATCCAATTAATTACTAGCTCTTATCTTGCCTAACTTCTCAGGATAATTCAGGTTCGTTCTCTTATCTTCATCTCCCCTGCCATTTCTTTAGTCATTGTCACCTCACAACTAACTTGTTGCAACAACCTCCTAATTTGTTTCTCTGCCTTAACATAACCTCCTTCACACTGGACCTGCAATGATCTTTCAAAGATGCAAATTTGGTTATATCACTTCCTGCATAACTTCATTTAGTGGTGCTCCATTGCTCTGAAGTTAAGTCCTAACCTCTTGACCAGGGGACGCACAAACCCTTCTCAGTCTAACACCTACTTCTTCCTCAGCCTCTCTTCTCACCTTCCTTTGCTTGCTTCTGCCATCCATCTCCTCCTTCTCCCACTGCCACTTTCTCTACCCCACCATGTTCAACTCTGTGTTCTTCTTTACCTGCATTCTTACTCAACCCTGCACATTTTTTTTCTTTTTTTCCCCCCTCTGGACATTTTGAATCATACTTTGAAAATTGTCCATTTGCTTCCCCAAAACTCTACTAGACCACAAAGCCTTGAAGGGCAGAGGTTTTGCCTTATCCTTACATAAAATAAGAATTTATATAAATGAACATTTGAGTTATTGATGTTTTGATTTTACTTCTCTGTGTGGGATAAAATCTGACATTTATGAGTGCTTATGCATCAGACTCTGTTTTAAGCTTTTTAACAATAAAAACATAGTTCATTCTGAAAAGTGGGTAGTATTACATCTTTTTTTACACATAAGGAAACTAAGGTACAGAGAGACTAAGTTACCTGCCTAATATCATTCAGCTAATAAGTAGTTGTACAGAGATAGAACCTCATGTAGTACTACACTAGAGTGTTTACTCTTAACCAATATGCCCTATATTGCTTTTAATTCAAAGCCATTGATGCACTTGTAGGGTGAACCACTGATGCGTGTTTGAGCGAGAGCCAGATTGGTAAACAGAGAAATGGAAGGAGGCCTATCATAACGAGAGAAGAAGGGCTTCTTGAACAATAAGCAGGAGAGTTGGGGAAGAGACTCAGCTAGGCAAGTGAGTGCTCAGTGCAATATGTCTGCAACCACAGCAACAATCTTCCATGTATTCATGGATAGTCTTCTGGGATACAGTCAGTTCAAGAAGATTTGAGTTGAACATTTACTATTCCATATATTGGGGATACCAAAAGTAGAATAAGGCATAAATTTTTCAAGATACCTACACTCTAGTGAAACAGACTTATCCCTGCATAAGGAACTGTATAAGCCAAAAACAGACTGTGGTTAACAGTGTAATGGAGGAATGTCAATTCTCCTCCTTGTAATTACCTCACCTCTTCCTTTCCCCAAAGACTTGACCAGTACAGTGCCTAGTGCTTATTGCAGGATGCTAGGCAGAAAATGCTAAATAAATCCACTAATAGGAGTATCAGATTCCCACCATCTTGGATCTAGTAAGTCCCAGAAAAATACTTTTATTATGGTGAGGAAGATGTTACATACATGTATGGAGCATGAAGCATCCATATGCCTTTTCCCCCACTATTTTTTACATACTGGGGCTAAGTGAATACCTAGTTCCTGGCTTACCCAGGACCCTGGCTTTCAAGGTTATCTGTAGGACATTTGGAAATGTAGTGCTTCTCTAGGCTAAGGAGAGGGCTGGGGAGAGTGATGAGCTATTTCAGAACAGATGTCAAGAGAGCCCTTCTCTTCGTGCTGAGAATCATCAAGCACATGCCTCATGCCTCCCAGGCAGAGTGACTGAGGCACAGGCTCCAGAGCACACAGACAGGGAGCTGGCCTCCTGGGGGACTCTTCCACTGCAAACAAATTAGTTTTGCTGGACCAGTAGCCTTTGCTCATTCTTGGGGAGTGTGAAGAGGGGAGCTCGAGCTGGTGTGGAGTTTAATTAAGGATGGCAGCTGGAGTAGCACGTCAGATGGCTCTGTGCTCTGCACTCCGTTCATGTCACAAGTTGCTAGTTGCATTTTGTTATTCTCCAGAATCCCTTTTTGCTTGTTCTTTACCTTGCCACTGCCCATGTGTTATTCTTCATGCCACTGGGGTGATGTGACCTTATCCCTAAGCATAGAGAGTCCAGAGAACACACACTAGAGGTAGAAAAACTGCCCTGGCCCAGTGGCTCAGTTGGTTGGAGCATCATCCCATGCACCAAAATGCTGTGTGTTCGATTCCCAGTCAGAGCACATACCTAGGCTGAGGGTTCAATCCCCAGTCAGGACACATGTGAGAGGCAACTGATTAATGTTTCTCCTCTCTCTCTCTCTCTCTGAAATCAATAAACATATCCTCAAGTAAGGATTTAAAAAATAAACTAACTGTTAGGAAACCATCAGTGGCAGATACATGCCCCTATATAAGACATTTCCTCCCCAGGCTCACTATCTCCTGTTTAAATACATCTTTCATGCCAGTAATGAAATCATGACTACCTTGGAACTTTTAATATCTCGAAGGAAAAGAAACATAACATTGGAGCATGCCTAGTGTCCATGTTGTCAGTGGTCCTCCATCAGGATAGGTGAGAGCATTGTCGGGAAAGAGCTCCTGTGTCCTGTCCAAGCAAACCAGGCACAGTGAAGGAAGAAAGCGGACTTAGAGTCACACAATCTCATGTAAAGGCAGAATTTTGGGCACTCACAACTGTGAAAGTTTCTGTCATAAAGAGAATGGGTTAAACCGTGAGCATGAATCTTCAGATCATTCAATTAGCCAAAAAGCACCCTGGAAAGTACAAACCACAACTGAAAGCACTCCTGAATAGGAAATCTCCTAATCACTTCCTCTAGTTACATGCAGGAGGAATAGGAAACTCAAATCAGGCTTCTTTGGCTTCCTACTCTGGTGATCTGAGATCCAGGAAGACTAGGAAGTAGTAGAAAACACCTCTATAAAATCTTCTGAGATGGCATCCTATCTTGGGAAATTGAGTTGGATGATGTACATTTATGGCACAAAGTCTTTAGAGAAATGCTTTATTCTATTATTGCCTGCTATTTGGAATGATGTTATGTGTTCTAAAGAAACACTTCCCTCCCGGACGTGAAGCTCCACCCTGCATCACCAGCTGTCTGCTCACTCAAGTCCCATACAAATGAGTTAATTACCTGTAGCAAGAACAGACTTTGAAAACAAAGCAAGAAATATGGAAAATAAAGGCTGTTTTCAGCTCATGTTACAGTTTCTCCTTGGTTACATTATTTTTTAAAGAGAACTGGGCAATTTCCTATAATTCCAAATTTTAGGAGGACTAGGTTTTTAGAATTTATTACTTTTGAGACCCTGAGTAGAAAAATTATTTCAGTAGAAAACACTTAAAATGTAAATCGCCCATAGGCTAGTAGCCTTTGGGATGGGATTACCTATTCCTGGTTTAGGGGGCATCTTAAAACTTTAATAAAGAGAAGTCGTAGGCAGGTCCAGTGAGTGGGACATTATTTTTTTTTTTTATGGCATTGCGGTTGCAGAAGGAGAATAAAAAAATGTATAAACACTTGTAAATTAAAGGGAACTTACAGACTGCCAATTCTATGATCTGTATTTTAAAAATGAAAATGTTGGCATCAGAGAGGTTACCTGTGCCCTAGCAGCAGGTTTGCTTTAACTTTTGGATTGGAGCTCCATGGAAACAGCTTCACCTGCTCAGCGTCAGACACAGCTATGGGTGACTTCTGGTTCTCATTCCTTGCCCCTGTTGCTCTCATGGTGTCAATGTTCTGCCACTGTCCTTTGGGATTTAACATCGTTATAAGCTGTACTCCCAAAGAAAATGCACAACACTCGATTGTAAACTCCCAAAGAGCAATGATTTTCTTCCCCATGTCTGTTTTTCTTTCTCAATACCAACCACTGTGTTTTACATAAATGTAATACTTGAAGATTTGCTGATTGAAAATATTCTAGTTGTGAAAAATATTAATATCTTTAATATTTTCAGCAGTGACAGGAAGTGTAGAGTTAAGTGTAGGGGCTTTGGAGGCAGACTGCTTGTATTTGAATCCAATTCAGCCAAGCATAAGCCATTACCTTGGGCAGATGACCTAACTTCTTTGTGCCTTAGTTTCCTTGGCTGAAAACTGGAATCAGTCATCCCTACCCTATTGGCAGGTTGTGAGGGTTAAGTGAAGTAATATATGCAAAGCACTTAGTGCCTGCTGGAGAAAGTACTCAGTGAGCATTAGCTATTACTAGTCAGTATGCAAAGAAGGCTCTAAGTATTGTTGGTAAATGTCCCAGAACAGATATGGATATCATGACATTACTTGAGCGCATAATAAATTAAAATGATTGTTGTATGGGGCCATCAATTCTTATAATTCTGGACATTTCTTTGCCCAGAAATATATTTATGTAGCTGTTCATCCCCTCTGTTGCTTCTATTTACACTGTAGTATTGAGGTTTATTTAACAAATAAATGAATTTCCTAATTTGCCCACCATTGTCTAGAGCCACATTCTAGTCTGTCCCTTGATTTCTTACCAATTATTGGTGATGAGTTCCTTTGGTCACACCCAGACATCAATATAAATCTGCTTGTCCTTTCTGTCCCCTGCACAGTGAGGCCATATGTGTGCCACCAGTCCTCAGTCAAATTGGTCCTGACATCTTGGTCCCTGTTCCCTTGCAACTGGGGATTTCCTCTTCCTCATCCTTTAGAATCCAGCATGAAACCCATCTTAAGTTGAATAAGAGAACTCCACCTTTTATATTTCTATTCATCCATTTATCCAACTGGCACTTTGAGTCATAGGCTCTTTGTCCTTGAGGAGTTACTGCATGACTGATGCCTAACTGACATGAGTAGGTGTCCTCATTCTGGCTTTATTTCCACAGTTTGTTCCTCCAGACCTCTGTGTCTGCAGTTTTGTGCTGGAACAGTCCCTGTCGGTCAGAGCCCTGCAGGAGATGCTTGCCAGCACAGGGGAAAATGGCGGTGAAGGGGTGAGTACCTGAATCATGTCCTAGGTGGGAACTGGGATACAAATAGCCCAAAAGTACATACTTCATTTTGTCCCTTGAGCTTTGACCTGGGAAACCTTAGGGTCCTTGAGATGATCTCTGTAGATAATAGATCCTTCTCCCTGAGTTTAATTCCTCTTATTTAGCAATTCTAATTCTCCTTCCTTTGGGTTAACCAACTTCCACCAGAAAATAGAAGGGACCATCATTAATGCTGCCTGAGCAGGGCATACAGTACTGATCCGACTCCCTTCCCTATTCCATAACCCACAAGGAAATGTGGAGAGGCTGAGAGGACCTTGAGATGGAGGGTGCATAGTAAGTAGGGGTTTCCCCCGCTCCTTGGGAAAGTCTTCTCAGAGGTTTACAACTGCCCCAGTGGAGCACAACCAGGTGACGGCAGTTTGGAAAAGATTTCCTGTGGAATTCAGAGTCTTTGATATGTGCTCAGACCTCCACAGTTTCATTGATGATGAGCAAATACAGAGCTGTCTTGAGTGTCTCTTGCTTGAGTCTGTAAAATAGTCCCTGAGTATTAAACTGAGGGATGATGTGCCATATCTCATGTGTCAGAAGGTCTTTGAGCAGAGACCTCAGAGTAATTTTTGACCCTTTCTTTCCTTAATGACCTATATCTATTTATGTCCATTTATCATCAAGTATTTTAATTCTATGGCCTGAATATTTCAAATACAAACACCTCTTTTCATACCTTCTAAATACGACACCAATGACTATTCTCTGTCTCCTGGGTTCCTTCAAAATCCTCCTAACCGCTTCGGTTCTTTCCGTACTTGCCCGTCACCACCACCACCATTTGTTTTTTCACTTGGCTGTTCAGAATGTTCTTTCTAAAATGCAGATCTAATCATTATACTTCCCTAGTTTAAAGTCATTTGTCATTCATTACCTTGAGAAAAAACTCCAAATCCCTTAACTAGACATAAAGCTCTTCAGGATTTGGTGAGCCCTGCTCACCTTTCCCACCCCATCTCTCACCACATCCCGCCAGGAACTCAAGACTCCAGCCACATCGAATTGCTTTCACTTCCTCGTCAGTTCTGTCCTGCCTACGATCATGTGTGTCATCAAGTCCCTCCATTTAGAACAGCTTTTACTCCTCCCTTCCCGTAGGTAATCTCTACTTCTCCTTCAAGGAGCCAGTTTAGATATCAGATCTACTAAGAAGTCTTTGCTGACCCTGCACATCTGTCATGGGTGCCCTTGCTTGAGCAAAAGTCAGTAAATAGTTCTAATCATTCTACACTGTAATTGTAAGTCTAATTTTCTGCAGCCTATACTGGAGAGTAAATTACATGTAGGTAAAAAACTATTTGCTGTACCTAGCATGGATTATTCTTACTTGACTCTAATGAGCTCCTATGTGACAAAGAAGTATCTCATTTATGATAGAAGAGACAATGGCCGAAGACTCAAGAAAACCAATATTTACATTTAGGTCATTTTCTGGCTTTTAATGTGACCTCACACAAGTCTTCTAATTTCTTGAGGCCAGTATGTTCTCATCTATAAAATTAGAATATTTAAATAGTTTTCTGGAATCTTTAACACTAATGTTTGTGATTCTTCACTGTTTTAGTTCAGAATGAAATGCTTTCATCAGCCAACTGAAAATAACTTTGACTTCTTCCTTAGTGCATTAACACAGGTGATTTTTGGTTCCTTTGATGTTCACTGAAGTCTGTGTTTATTTCCCCCTTCCATTGGCCTCAGTACCCCATGCTTTCATCCCTAGGCACACTCCTTCAAATGTTTCCCATTTAGTAGAACAATTTTATTTTTAACTGCTCACTCTTTTTTCAAGACTAATAACTCATCATTCACAGACATCTTTTGTGGGGGAGACATAGTTCATTTGGAATATCACCACTTTCACTGTCAATCAGGATCAGCTAGACCCTGCCTACTTATGGCCCTAGGATAGAAAGTGGCAAGACAGAAGCTATACTAACTGGAGAATTGTCTCTTGGGCATTCTGTTTTGCTCAAAAACTGCATTTCAAAGGCTTCTCTTTTTTTATCATTTAGCTTGAGTAGTTCAGGGAGTCCTGTAGATGACAAAGTAAATTCAAAAATTCTGGTTATAATCCTTGCTGTTCTTGATTTGCAAGAACTTAAATAATAGCCTTGACTTGGTTTGTTTGAAAAATAATAAATAATAATTTATTTTCTAAATAGAAGGTGAAGACCATCTTATTGAGAATGAATACTTAGTTTTGGAACATATGAATAAGACCTCCCTTAATTACCAGCCATGTTATAGAAGAAGTTTACACAATATAGCTATATAAGTATATTTCAAGGTTATCTTTAATATATAATATGTAAAAACCAATACAGTAAATCTTATTGGGGGATTAATTCTCTTTGAAGACTCAACTCCAAAATAAATGATCCATGACATTTTTATTATTGGATAACAACAGTAATCACCATGTTGAATCTGACTGAAATTTATCATGTGTCTTATTGCCTTTTTGTGCTATTTTACCAAACAAAAAGGTGCGATCCAATAGTTATTTTTTTTCATCTTGACATTATTATTAGTAGAAGTAATAGTAGTAGGAGGGGAGGGAGTATTTACTAGGTATCTTAGAACTAGAAGGAAAGAATTTTAAAAGAGAATAAGATAGAATAAGTAGAATAAGATAGAACAGTGCACTGTTTTAAAAATTATTGAGATTTGGAGAAAGCTAAAATGGTGGCCTAGGAGGTAAACACAGCCCACCTCCTCACACAACCACAACAAAATTACAACTTAACTACAGAAAAAACATTATTCAGAATTGCCAGTAATTGAGCTGAATGGAAGTCCTACAGCTATGGAATTAAAGAAGAAACCACATTGATATTGATAGGAGGGGCAGAGACACAGAATGGACTGGTCCCACACACACATGTGACAGGTAAAAATTGGGAGGAATACCTCAGGAGCAAGGGATCCCAGGCCAACAGAAGACCCCCCTTCGTCCACAGTTCCAGTGCTAGGAAGATAAGTCCCCATAACTTCTGGCTGTAAAAACCAGTGGAGACTGATGATGCAGAGGACAGAAACTGCTGGATTTCCAGGCAGTTCCTCTTAAAGGGCCCATGCATGGACTTACTCAAATTCACTCCCTCTGAGCTCCAGCACCAGGGCAGCAGCTTGAAAGGCATCAAAGGCATATGGGAAGGAACTGAAATGTCTGGTATGACAGTGAGAGCTGGGGGACAGCTTTTTGCCAGACAGAACTGCTGGCAGAGGCCATTGTTCTTTTTCTGAAACCTCCCCCAACAGAGCCACAGAGATGGCAGGCAGGTGATATATCTGAGACTCCATCAACCTGGCTCACACTGTTTGCCATGCCCTGGTGATTCCCTGAAGCTATGCCCCACCCAACTTGTTTCCAGTGACTTTTTCATAGCAATGGCTTGCTTTGGATCATGCTTCAGGTATTTCTAAATCCTCTCAAACAAGCAGCATCCAGCCTCAGCAAGCTCCATACCTCTTGCTAAGTGGCCCCAGGCCTGACACTAGCAGCAGCAGCTGGCCTTGGTTCACAGGTTGGCCTCTCCTAGGCACTTCAAGCCCAGCAAAAGTGCCAGACATCTGCAGATCACTTTGTGGCTTATGCCAGGTGGCCTCAGATAGAACACAGGCAGTGATGACCTTGACCTGCACTTCCCAGGAAGCCCTAGAGCCTGCACACCCAGTAGACAGCTACACACCATATCGGAGCACCGTCACCAAACCACCTCCACAAGTGACACACTCAAGGGGCAGACTCAGAGAGCACTAGAGCCCTGCTAAAGTTAAGTCCTGTTCTGTGGAGTGGGCCCCTGCACAGCTGATCCTCCACAGTGGTCAGAGGTTGGTAGTCAGAGGTCACACCCAGTCCTTGCAGCTGATTGGCGTGGGTAAACCCTCCCATTGACCTACCAACAGCAATCAAAACTCAACTACGAGAGGAGGGTGTACTCAGCTCACATGAGGGGCACAGCTCAAGTATCCAGCTTGAGTGATAAGGGAGGCTGTGCCACTGGACCCTGCAGGATACCTACTGCATTAGGCCACTCTACAAAGCCAGGGAGTCATAGCAGCTCTACCTGATATATAGAAACAAACACAGGCAGGCTGCCAAAATGAGGAGACAAGTAAACATGCCCCTCCCCCCCCCCAAAAAAACAGGACAAAACTACAGGAAAAAAAAAACAAACACAATGGAGACAAGCACTAGATTGCTTGTAGAGTTCAAAAAACTTGTTATAAGATGCTCATTGAACTTAAGGGAAGAGCAGATGAACTCAGCGTAGAAAAGAATATAGAAACCATAAAAAAAGTCAGAAATGAAGGATACACTAACTGAAATGAAGAACAATTTATAGAGAATCAACAGTAGAGTGGATGAAGCCAAGAATCAAATCAGCTATTCGGAATATAAGAAAGCAAAAAACACCCAATCAGACCAACAAAAATAAAGAAGAATCCAAAAAAATTAGGATAATGTAAGAAGCCTCTAGGACAACTATAATCATAACCAACATTCACATCAGGGGGGTACTGGAGGGAGAAAGAGAGCAAGAAATTGAAAACTGATTTGAAAAAATAATGACAGAAAACTTCCCTAACTTGGTGAAGGAAATAAACATGCAAGTCCAGGAAGAACAGAAAGTACCAAACAAGATGAACTCAAAGAGGCCCACTCCAAGACACTCATAATTACAATGCCAAAAATTAAAGACAAAAAGAGAAGCTTAAAAGAGCAAGAGAAAAGCAGTTAGTTACCTACAAAGGAGTGACCATAAAATCATCAGCTGATTTCTCAAAAAGAAACTTTGCAGGCTAGAAGGGATTGGCAAGAATTGTTCAAAATCATGAAGAGCAAGGACCTATAACCAAGATTACTCTACCCAGCAAAGCTATCATCTAGAATTGCAAGGCAGATAAAGAGTTTCCCAGAGAAATAAAAGCTAA